TCTCGATCGACTTCCTCAAAAACGTATTTTCTTTCTCTCTCTCTTTTTCTCTTTCTCTCTCTCTGTCTGCAATCTCCGGAAATAGATGCACCAGACATAGCATAAATAAATAAAAAAAAGATAAAAAAAAAAAACAGTTTACAGATACTCGCAGGATCGAGATCAAAAGCAGAGAACTCTTATAATTTTCTTTTGAAAAAAAATAAAATTAAAACAACTAGGTTATTAGCACGTAGACTCTTTTTTCGACGAACGGCATCGAGTTTTCTGCAAAAGATAATGTGCGAAAGTTTACGCACCGGTTCATACATACATACATAATAATTATCGTAGTTGCGTGTTGACGCGGCGTACATTGATATCGCGTTATGTCATAAAGTTTAAGCGACGCTGCTTGATAGTCAGACTGCTGCCAGAGATTACGGAACGCGCTACGCGCCTTATGAATATATGCAAGTGTCGTCCGGCTTGTTTAACGCAGGCGAGCGGCGAGCTCTCGCTTATACATGAAGATTTCGTACGTTTTGGAAGAATCTTCAGCCCGACGTAACGTCACGTCGTGAAATCGTCTAAGAAGAGAACAACATTTCGTTGCGACAAAAAACAAACAAAACTGGAGAAAGAAGTAAATAAATAATTGTTATAAAATAAATTCTTGTAACGTGTGAATTAAGTTTTGTTAGTGAGGACTGGAAACAGGATTTGTTTGAAATCTGTAAACTAATTCAGAAGAAATCCGGCGGTGAACAGCGCGGACCTTTGTTCTTTCAGGGAAAGGGAGAACCTCCAAGCGAGTGATTCGAAGGACAATCGACTGACGCGAACGAATAATCGAACGTTGTGTCACTTGAACGTGAATCATACAGAGTCACTACAGATGACGGTTTTATATACGCCCTCCGTATTGTGGAAAAAAAAATTCGAGGTGTCATCCTTGACGATACGACGCTCTTCCACGACTCGGAGGAAACAGCTATTGGTGGTGTGACGTCACACGATTACATTAATTCACTTTCTGTTCGATGGACGCGGGCGAGTTAGGATCACCGGCTAGTTGACGCGATGTCCGTGGAATTTAATCTACAATTATGATATTAAAGGCCTCTGGCTTTAATGAGAGACGCGCGTTGCATTTGATCACAGCCGTAAGTTACTTGCACCGCGGCACGTTCGCTATCATCGTCGCTGAGTTCATCGTTGCTTCGGAATCGATCGCGGCGAAAGACACGCGGAGTTTTTCGAGAATGTGAGAGAACCAATCGCTATAAATAAAAAATTTTTGCGGGAACCTAACGTAAGTGAAGAGAAAAACAAAACAGATCTGTTTCACGTGATCGATTGTGGAAGGATTTTATTCGTCGAAAAATTAAACCGAAGTTTCGGCCACTCCGAGAAATTCAACCATCGTTGTCAAACGTATGTACGCAATAATGTCACAGAAATGACTGTTTTCTTTATTAGATAAAAAAAAAATATCGTACGACAGTACTCATCTTCTCTGAATTCGATTGTTTATCGAAAAGTCGGTCACACAAGCACTAAAGGCGATAAAGGTTGCATAGCTATCCGTTGACAGTGTGCATTCATTGAGTAATCTTGGTCCCTGACGTCAGGCTCTCGCGCAAATATCCAATCGATACATAAGTCACTTCGTGACGTAGTCGCGATGCAATCTCGCGCTTTTGACGCAAACCAATTTTCGTGATGATCAATGAGCCGTTTAATGTGCCACTAATCTGGCAATTTTTTCTTTCATCGATAGGCGACTACATATTTTGTTTTCCAGTTACGCGTTAATTTCGCATCTAGTTTATAAAGAATGTTCTCAATTACTACGTAAATGCAGAAACATCGCGCGTTGACAATGTCAGATAATGTTTCAGTCGCGTTGCGACGCGAAGGAGGAGACTCGCGCGGATAAATAACGTCTCTACGCGGATATTCCGTCTGTCTGTAGGTAGGTGGAAAGGATCAAATTGCGGCTACTGCTTGAACTTACTCTTAATAGGACTAAACGGGTCAAGAGTACTTTGTCAGGCGGGATAATTGACGCTGATAACCGACCGTTGCGGTTTTCGCGTTACGCAAATCGCGTTTGTTCATTCGCTTCGTTACACATATCCGCTGATTTTCGCGCGTGTCGAATTCCAATTGAATGATAATAAAATTGATGTAAAACAGATCTATTGCGACTGATGACACTTGTACATTGATTAAAAGCACATTCATTCTATCGGTTGTTAATTAATTATCGGTTTCCGCGATTAAGAATTAAAGATGTAAAACAATTACTGCTCTATAAACGCACCGTTTTCACACGAAAATATTTGCTTCAAATAGAAATATCGAAAAATTGTATCGATTATTCGAGAGTGTTACTCTCTTCCGAGATAAGACGCACGAGAGATTATCAGAATGCGATCTCCTTTCTTTTGCTCGCCGACCCGACCCCTGGTAGAGAATTTATGGGACCACCGAAGAAAGGAGACGGCTAAAAATATACAATCTGCGATCCCTGCGATAAAGGGACTTTAAATTGACTCTGCTTTCAAGGCTGGTTTTAGAGCAGGCTCGTTGATTTCGTCGGAAGCCCTGGAACGGGGCCCGCGCGTGTCTTAACCTTGGTAACCTTAGAAATACACTCCCCTGGAGTCCCGCCAGTTTCTGAACCATCTGCTTAAGTGAACCAACCGCTCTGTTAACTCTTTCTCATATTGGAATGCATTAAAATTCCGTTCGGGCTCGTTCTTCTTCTCTAGTCGCGCGATCGTTTCGCGGCTCGTGCATTCTGCGCGCACAAGAAAAATCGCAACGGGGGCCTTTATCGACTTGAGAAAATCCGAAATCGCGATGAGAGTTAAGACTATAGCGGGAAAATGTTTCGCGCGCTGTTTCACAAAGCCGCCGATGACGACGCCGAGCGAGGCGTGCCAAGCAGCGTGTCGCTCGTTATTCCGCGATCGCGATGCCGCACACGGACGTGATGACTCGGCTCGACTGACTGATATCACGAGATACATCAAACTTCGCGCGATGATGCAACTTTGGACCAACTCCAGAAATTGCTCGCGTGTTGGTCAGCTCGGACGGATGAAAGCGCACGCACGAAATCCTGCTTTACGATTGATCACCGAAACGCTCGTAATTCGCTACTCTCGTCTATCTTCCATTTCCCAGATGACCGATCGGCTTTCCTCGTATCGCTTTATCGCGCGGATGACACATCGCGCGAATTCGCGCCTGAATGAACGCCACGTTTCGATAGCGGCGCAAAAACCTGGATTTTAATTTTTTTTTTTTTTTTTTTTTTTTTTACGTTGTATACAGTTATATATTTTTTTTTTATGCTGAAAAGAAATGCAAACTTCGCGCGCAAAAAGAATTTGCAGATGCAAAATTATCTTCCTCTTAATTCATTTCTTTCTTAATTAATTTCTTCTGTGTATCATTTGAGATGTATTCACGAGCTCACCCTTTATTAAAACTAGGGCGCTGATGTCACAGATTCCCCCCTTCGTATTTCTCTCATTAAACGCGACGATTCTCGCAGAGAGACTCTTAATGTGAGTTTTACGACTTTTCGTTTGCTCCTGCCATCGCGCTAATTAAAATTTTTTGCCAGACAGAAGAATATTTTATTACTTCGCTCCGGCAAATTTTTTTTTTTTTTATTCGGATTTGTCACATGCGAATAAATTGCTGTTTTATTGCGTCGGAGAGAGAGAGAGAGAGAGACCGTGACGTCTCACAGAAAAAGACGGGTCAAACGCGAGCGACCTACTTACGCATTCCCGTGCGCAATATTTGCATTAATTGCTCGCTTCTCAATAAACGCGTTTGTCTCCCTCGTCTCTTCTCAAAACGGCTCGCGATCGGGGACACAATCCTTTGTCTTCTCATTCACGTGTTGTAACAGCTGCCGATGTGTTTCACGTAAGTATGTAGAACACGTGGCACTATAGATACGTTGTGAAACACGTCGGCTACCGTCGTGTCGTGCTTTTTATATAATTAAAAATGTTTTCCAATTTTAGTCGTCTTGCTTTTTATATTTGATTCTTCCTAAATTAATTTTTTTCTGAGAGAAAAAAATTCTTCAAAATATTTTCAGAAAACATGGTGGCTGTTGAAACCATATTTCATTCAGTAAATCCGTTTTATCCGCATTTTTTAATAAAATATTTGTTAAAAAAAAACAAACTTTTGACATTCATTCTAACTTAGCAAAGTAAATATTTAGATTTAATTATAAACACGACCTCGGCTGGAAAATCGATATCGTTACGCAATAAGCACGCGATTTGCGCGCGGTCAGGAAGCTAAAAATCATCGATCCTCGTTCCAGTCTGGTAAATTTCATCAATATTATAATGCAACCGATTCGGACACTCGTTTCAGAGCTACATGATCCGTGGACTTGCGCGCAAGTTAGGATGAGCTCGGTGTCGAAACAAAGAAATTCAATTTCTTGACGAAACAAAAAGAATCGAGTCTCATTTGTGTTTTTTGGCGAAAGATGCGGAGACTCGTTGCACAAGTGACTCTGACGAGTCTACTTCCATCATAATATCCTATTCGAAGAATATGCGTATAGGTATGACAAATCGTGCGGCATTCAAACGGCCAACGCCTTGAAGTCGTTCCAAAGCAGACGGGATGACGCGGCCCCGACACATCGCAAGCTCTTGGCAGCGATTGTTGTTGTCAATTGCCAGCTGTTACCGAACCCTACATACCGCACACACCTGAAACAAGTTACGTGCGAGAACATCGTCGTGCCACATTTAAAAAGTTACGCGAAAATCAGCGAAATAATCCGAATCGAAATTAAACCGCGATATAAAAATCTCAAATGACAATCTTTGTACTAAAATCGCGCGAAAATATAACAATGAACATAATATAATAAAGATATTTACATAAAATATGTAAGTTCAAGAAAAATATCGATATTTATTGTGTCGGGAACGCGACGATTCGTTTTTTTTTTTTTTTTTCAGGATGTGGACCGCACACTGCCAGAATTTAGTGTTCATCGCCTTAGTGTTCCTGCCCTCTATTGCGAGAGGTATACCTGACTACTCCGGACTGCCACCGGGACCGTACTGCGCCTCAAGGTATCGCGCCGGCAGTTGCTGCGCAGGACGAAAGGACGAGTGTAGCGCGCCGGTACATTACATCACCAAGACTTATTGCTACTGCGACGACTTCTGCGATCGGGTTCGCGAAGAGGATTGCTGCCCGGATTACTGGCGTCATTGCAAAAATATCACGATTACCACGGATCCGCCGGCGACGTTCAGAAGTATTTACAAAACAATAAATATATACAAATAACACGCATCGTGTAGTTTTATTAGAAAATGTTCCCACTTTTCTATGAAAATTGCAAACATACGTATTTAGTACAAATAACGTACAAATAAACTTTTGTCTAACGTATAGATAAACTTTTATTTTCAAACTCACGTGTTTCTATTTCAGGATGTTTCTTCCAGGGGAGAGAGTACAATCACGGACAAACGCTAAAAGTCAATTGCAAAATGTGGTATGACGTTTACCTATTTTTCGATGTGAAATAAAGAGAGAGAGAATGGATTGTGTATTCGAATATTTTATGTTGCAGCAAATGTTCCTCGCTCAACGAACGCGCCGAAGTGCTCTGCGAGGAGAACCGATGTCTGATTGAACCGGAATTAATAGAAGAGGTCAACTTGCAAGGATCCACTTTAGGATGGCAGCCGGGCAATTACTCGGAATTCTGGGGAAGGACGCTTCGAGACGGCGTGCAGCTTCGTTTGGGTACTCTGAATCCGTCTCAGTCCGTGAGTATCTAAAAATATCACCGTTATCACATTCGAAGTCTGTGTTGCTCTTTTCTTTTTGTCCCTATGTATGTATATATGTATATATATATGTATATACCTCTTTACTTTAGATAAAATCCGTGAATATTGTAAAAATTACAAACCGTTATCAGAACGCTTGATCAAGAACGAAAGAGAAACATGCAAATTCCCTCAAAATATATTCATGGAACATTTTCTTCGACAACGAACAAACGGGGTATGCGCGTTATTTGATATGCGAGAGAAGATAAATTATAAAAGATCGCCGTAAGAAGTGTACAATATTTTTAGCGCGCGGGAGGGTTTCTCGCACGAAGTTTCTCGATGAATTCGAAGTGAGGCAGCAACCTTGTGCCTCTTAAAACGGCAGCGTATAGACGCGAACTTGCCTCGAAAAGATTAGGTCAATTGCACCGCTTGTGCAACCTAAGGCTAAAGTTTCCACGGCTAAAGTAATCTTCTTTCTGCACTCGGCGCCGCGGGGGTTTTATGAATACGAAAGCGCGCGAATTGACGGAAACCGACGTCGGTTGCAGGCGACGTCGAATTTAGACCTTTGAAAGTTCGTGACGTCTCTGTGAAAGGAAAGCTCGCAAAAGAAAGAAACCTTCTTTTCACAAAAAAAAAAACGTCTTTCACTCCACAAAATTTGTTTTTTGTTTTTCTTTTTTACAAATTTTTTATAAATCCTTTCCAATTAAGATTTCGTTTCATTGGAAAAAGAAAATATTTGCACAATTTTTGGCACAGGTTTATAAAATGAATCCAGTGCGACGTATCTACGATCCGGACGCGCTCCCACGGGAATTCGATTCTAGGACACGTTGGCCGCGCGATGTATCGCCCATTCACGATCAGGGATGGTGCGGCGCGTCTTGGGCTGTGTCCACGGCCGACGTCGCGTCCGACAGATTTGCGATCATGAGCAAAGGCACCGAAGACGTCGATCTGAGCGCGCAGCATCTATTGTCCTGCAACAACAGAGGACAACAAGGCTGCAGAGGCGGATATCTCGACCGCGCCTGGCTCTACATGAGGAAATTCGGGTATTGTTTTTTTTTTTACAATTAAATACTTGTATATTTTTTATACACTTAATCTTTATTAAATTTTCTCTTTTTTTTGTACACATTATGAATACAAAATAAATCGATTTCTTCATTAACGATATCATTAACAAAGATTAATATTCACATTTTTTAGAATTTTCAGAATTATTTGCGTTACTTAATTGTGTGTTGCATATTTAACTGCTTTTGTAAGATGTGAAGAAACACGCGCGACAGTAAATTTTTACTACCGTGGGCTCTAATATATCACTTGTGTTGTTGTTGCAGACTGGTCGACGAGGAGTGCTATCCTTGGACCGGCAGGAACGATCAGTGCAAACTACACAAGAGGAGCGATCTGAGAGGAGCCGGTTGTCGAAACCCGCCGAATCCGCTGAGAACGGAGCTGTACAAGGTCGGGCCGGCCTATCGACTGGGCAACGAGACCGACATTATGCAGGAGATCTTGACTTCTGGCCCCGTGCAAGGTAGAAGTCGTTACACGATTCGACGACACGCTGCTAATCGAAATTTCAAATCAGACAGTTTCGATCGCTTATGCTAAATAAGCGCGGAAATATCAAAGTGTAATTTTGTGCAAAGAGCGCGCGTATTGAGAAATAACGTTCGGTTGTATTTTTTTTTTCTTTTTTCAGCCACCATGAGAGTCTACCAGGACTTCTTCGTTTACAAGAGCGGAGTGTACAAGCACTCGCGGAGTGCGGAGTTGTACGATTCAGGCTATCACTCGGTGAGAATACTCGGCTGGGGCGAAGAGCCGTCTTATCGCGGTCCACCGCTAAAGTACTGGGTGAGTTTCGCACATTTAAAAAGAAAAAAAAAACAAACTCCACTTGCGTTGAAAGACGCAAAACGAGACGAAAGACGTGAGTTGCGAGTTTTTCACAACGTGAAAAATCCGAAATTTTGCCTGTTTCAGCTGGTCGCGAACTCCTGGGGCTACGACTGGGGACAGAACGGACTCTTTAAGATCTTGAAGGGTAGCAACGAGTGCGAGATCGAGTCGTTCGTGCTGGCGGTCTGGGCGAAGACATTATAAGAAACAAGGAGGGATTACTAAAAAACAACAAAAAAAAAAAGAAAACAAACAGAAGCAATACTAGTATATATATCCGATTGTCATAACAATTGTTGGTGCATTTATTGAATCTCCGTCGTCTCTTCTCGTATGCAATCGCGCGATTGTCTCGATGATGAGAAAACGATAAAAAAATTGTTGGACGTTCAAAAGTATGTGATCCAGTGCCTCCGTATACCGTCTCATTACATATGTAGAAACACGT